TGGGCTACAGAGTGAGACTCCGTCTCCCAAAAAAAAAAAAAAGCAAGGTGCCATGGCTCATGCCTGTAAACTCAGAACTTTGGAAAGTTGAGGCAGGTGGATAACTAGAGCCCAGGAGTTTAAAACTAGCCTGGACAACATGGTGAAACCCTGTCTCTACTAAAAACACAAAAATTAGTTGGGCATGGTAGTGCATGCCTGTAATCCCAGATACTCAGTAGGCTGAGGCACAAGAATCGCTTGAATAAGAGGCTGCAGTGAGTCAAGATCATGCCACTGCACTCCAGCCTGGGACAGAGCAAGACTCTCACTCCAAAAAAAAAAAAAGGCTACAGAGGGTAGGAGAACTAAGAAGCTGAAATTATATTGAATCTTATGTCTGTCTCACTCGTACACATTATCAGTTAACAGTTTGATCTTAACATTGTGGAAGAATTAGAAGGCTCTTATTTAACTAAAGGGTTAGCAAACATTTTCTGTAAAGAGTGACATAGCAAATATTTTAGGCTTTGTGAGTCAAGAGGTAAAATTAAGGATATTAAGTAGGTACTTATATAAAAGAAGAAAAATCCACTGTTTATCATTGAAATGTAAAATATAATAATTAGGTTATTTACTGTAATACATGTCTATCAATGAGAAGGTTAAAATTCTCTTTTTTGGGGATAACATTTGACTTAACTGGAGTTCAAAGTTAATGTTCCCTATCATCAAAATGAATGACAAATGTTCACATGTCAATGTGTTAACAAGATTTTATGTATTCCACTTTCTTTTCACATAAATAAGTACTGCCAAATACTGATATTAGTCCATGAGCATATAATTTTAATTGAGAATATTTATTGCTTGGAAGGCATTTATAGAACTGTATTACATTCTTTTCCTGATAACTGCCTTTTACCATAATATTGTTACATTGCAGATTATTCACTACCAATTGAAGGTTAGATGCAAGCCCCTTAACTGTACGGTGAAAACAAATTTTGAAATATAAAAATTTCCTTTGCATTTGCATCAGGTCTGAAAAACACTGCTGAAAATATAGCTTGAGCCTGAAAAATATATCTGGCTGCAAATCTATGTGGTAATGAATATCCTATCTTAACTTCTGACAGCACTGGAAGTATATAAAGTATATAAAAGCGATTTGACACTACTTATGATTCAAATGTTAACTAGTTAAATTGACTTTACTGCAGTTTATGTTTCACAGAAAAGAAGTATTTTGCCTTGTAACTCTAAGATGAATTCATTAAGAAATATCAGAAGTTTGCAGCAAAAGCTAATTTTCAAAACCATCCAGTATTCGACAGTAGTAGCTGAAGGCAGGACTGATTCAGAAAAATCTTACTCTTGGCCCCTAAGTTCAGAAAATATCACAACAAAACTTTGCTCCTGCTAAGTCACCAAATTAGTGTTTCATAAGGCAAGTCACCCTGACAATATTTTGTTAGATATATTCAGCTTCTATTTCTTATTATTTTTGAGATGGAGTCTTGCTCTGTCAACCAGGCTGAAGTGCAATGGCGTGATCTCAGCTCACTCCACCTCCCAGGTTCAAACAATTCTCCTGCTTCGGCCTCCATGTAGCTGGGATTACAAGTGCTCGTTACCACGCCCAGCTAATTTTTGTATTTTTAGTAGAGACAGGGTTTTGCCATGTTGGTCAGTCTGGTCTTGAACTCCTGACCTTAGGTTATCCACCTGCCTCGGTCCCTCAAAGTGCTGGGATTACAGACGTAAGCCACCGCGCCTGGCCTCAGCTTCTATTTCTAACAAAAAATGTCACAGAACTGGCCAAGCATGATAGCTCACACCTATAATCCCAGCATTTTGGAAGTCCAAGGCAAGAGGATCACTTGAGACCAGACGAGCCTGGGCAACACTATCTATACCAAAAAAAAATCAGCCAGGGTCCTTGCTTGAGCACAGGAGTTGAGGCTGCAGTGAGCCATGATCACTCCACTGTACTCCAGCATGAGAAACAGAATGAGACTCTGTCGCAAAAGAAAAAAAAAGTCACAGAACCAATATTGATAGTTACGTCCACAAGAGTGAATGAAGTTAACCGTCCACAATGACTGGTTCCTTAACACCAGTAAAATTAAAGTCTTCTTTAACAAAGTACTGCTGATGAATAATGTAATAAATAGGATTTTTAAGCACCTTCCATTTTCACAATCTGGGCAAATCTGTCCCACTAAGTCTTCTGCTCCACAAACATTTTTATCCTTATCAGTTATAACATATCTTGGCAGATTCTACTTCAGGTTATACTGAATTTGCACTTTTGCAACTGCTTTGAAACTATTTTCTCCTATAGCTGCTCCATGTAGACAACCCATTGAAGCTAGTTCTTCTGTCAAACTCAGCACTGACTTCTCGAATAAACAACTGGAAAGTACCAATACATCAGTCTAATCATCAAGAGCCAAAGAAAAATACCTAAGATCATTTGCCTTGACTTGGAATTGACTACTGAAGTTGCTCCACTATCCTCAACTCTTCGAGCAACTGTTCTTGCTGAGATGCTAACAGTCTTTAATAAATAATTTTTCTCTGCACACATTTCTTCAACTGTTGCAATCAAATATGAATTAATCATTGCTAAATGGCTTTCCTTGCTTGACCAAGAAATAAGCCACTTAGAAACTTACTTTAGTTGCGGCCTAATTTTCATTATTTTTCTGAAAAAACTCTGTTAAGATATTCTGTTTTACATTTTTTCTGACTGTTTTCCTGATTTAGAAATACTGTGATGAGTGCTCAGTATGGTAATGTCCATGCTTACTGTGTACTCTTTTAACACAGCTATAACATCATTGTGTAATAAACACAATGTTTTGCCATTTAATTCGTAACAAAATAATCCATACTCCACCATGCCTTAAAAGCTGACATTCAAAGTTAATTTTTCTTGTTTTGATGTGCTGGATGTGTAATGGTAATAAAAACAAATAAATAAAACAGTGCAGTATGGCAACATGTGGCGATCAACATGCTGCTGAGTTATTAACTGCATCACTGCAATTAATATGCTGAGCAGCAGAACAAAATGATGAGAGCAGCACAGGTGGCTTCTGTTGCAACTACTATACTCTGTTGTAATGTGAAAAGAACCATATACACTATGTAAACAAGTGAGTGTTGCTATATTCCAATAAAACTTTATAGATACCAGGCCAGGCATGGTGGGCTCACACCTGTAATCCCAGCACTTTGGGAGGCCGAGGCGAGTGGATCACCTGAGGTCAGGAGTTCAAGACCAGCCTGGCCAACATGCTGAAACCCTGTCTCTACTAAAGATACAAAAAGTTAGCCAGGTGTGGTGGTGGGCACCTGTAATCCCAGCTACTTGGGAGGCTGAGGCAGGAGAATCACTTGAACCTGGAAAGCAGCGAGATTGCAGTGAGCCAAGACTGTGCCACTGCACTCCAGCCTGGGCAATGAGAGTGAAACTCTGAATCAAAAAATACAAAACAAAACAAAAACAACTCTATACATACTGAAATTTGTATTTTCACATTTCCCAATATGTTATTATTTTTCAACCATTTAAAAGTGTGAAAGTCATAATCAGCACATAGGCCATCTAAAGACAGATGGCGGGTTTAATCTGAGGTCATACTTTGATGACCTCAGATTAAAATTTTATTATTATGAAAGGCAACAGAAGCTAGAAATCTGCCTCCCATGCAGACAACGGAGCCAGACTTCTAGACTATCTAAACGTCAGTTTCCTGATCTGTAAAACGAAGATAATATTAGTACTCACTTCACAGGTTTGTTGTGAGGATAAATTGAGTGAATATGTAAATCATTTAGAATAATGCCTAGTATACAGTAAATGTATTAGCTATTAATATTCCTTACTCAGCAGAATACAGTTGCAAGTGATTCTGGACTCCTATTAGCAACTCTATACTTTAAAACTCCCACTGCAGGTCTGAGGCAAGCAGCCTTCTTGCATGAACATTACAGAGAGCCTCCAAGTAAGACAATATGCCACTACTAATGATTCTGTTCTACTGCCCACAATCCTTCTAGAATTTTCATTCTTAAGTAATCCAAACCACTAAATATTACCCCTATTCTCAGATGCTGCAACTCACCACAAGAATAGTTTTTGAACAGACCATCTCTATTCTAAGGTTCTGCTGCATATCTACATTATTGAGCAAGCAGAAACAAAGGTGAAATTTTAAGTGTTATTTTTGGCAATAATTTTATATTAGACATTCATCAATAGATGATTTCATATAAAAGTTATAATAAATCTGTTTGTTGTTGACTAAAAGCCTTTGGGTGAAACTCAAAAATCGTGTTTATCTAGTTCCCAAAGTATAAAAAAGCCACAAAAGTTTGATTACATTTATTCATTATTTAATATGCATGAGTGTCAGCCCATCTCCCCAGTCTTCTACCAAATATTTCAGACTAAGGACTTAGGAAATTACTGGGGCCTTTTCATTTCTTCAAGATTAGCTCCCACCCCATATTATACATTTGGATATACAATAAAATATATCGCCGAATAATTTTACTTGTTTCAAACAGTTTCCTAACTTTTTTTAAAAATAAATTATTTGTCAGGGAAGAAAGTCAAAATGTGTTCATCAGATGACAGTTTGGAAAACTACGCAAAATTGAAGTACCCTAAACAGTTTTTTTTTGAGGTGGTGTCTCACTCTTGTCACCCATGCTGGAGGGCAATGGCGTGATTTTGACTCACTGCAACCTCCACCTCCCGGGTTCAAGTGATTCTCCTGCCTCAGCCTCCCGAGTAGTTGGGATTACTGGCACCCACCACCATGCCCAGCTAATTTTTGTATCTTTAGTAGAGACAGGGTTTCACCATGTTGGTCAGGCTGGTCTCGAACTCCTGACCTCAGGTGATTTGCCCGGCTCGGCCTTTCAAAGTGCTGGAATTACAGGCGTGAGCCACCATGTCCGGTCTCCTAAACAGTATTTAAATTAAAATCATAACAACTACTCACCTACAACCAAGCCGCATTCAGGACAGATCATATCACCAGCTCTGTAGTCCTCCACTAAAATTGCATCTGGATGGTTTGGACATGTGACTCTTGGAAGAGCATCCAAACTGAAAGAAAAGAGTTGTATTTTCACATCTTTCCAACCAACATACATCAAATTAATCTCCTGGCACAGGGGATGGGGGAGACAAAAATTTTGAGTACTTCTCCATACATAGGATTATAATACATGTAAGCTATATTTTCAAAGTAAACATCCCAGTTAGGTTACTTTAAATTCTAGCTAGTAATCGGCAAGTAGATTCCATTGGAATTTTTATTTTACAGGGGAAGGCTTTCAAAACATAAATAGAAAATAATTGTTTCTTCTCTTAATAAAAAGGCCACTAAGATTTTTAAACATGTTGATTAATGTAGTAATGACTAGCTACCATGATAACCTGCAGAATTTACATTACCATCCAGTTTGTGCTCTTTGCCACTTATTTCTCTAGTCAGAGTACAACTTCTCTCTGTATTTTTCTACTTGTTAACGGCCTTAGTAACAGATTTAAATAGTACATTGAACATACAATGAGTATATAAATGAAGGATGATAGATGTTGCTCTGGTGAACTTAAGACTTGATGATTTCCTTTAGTCCAGAATTGAGTATTTTGTCATTCAAGAAATTGTTTCAAAAGGTACTTGTTAATTTATCTGTGATATTAATAATTAGCTCAATTTATCTCATTTTGAACAAAGCAGTTTGCAGAAGACACATTCATCTTAAATGATCTGACAGAATCAGTTGTAAAAGCAACAAACATTTGATCATTATTTCAGGGGATATGACCTCACAATCATAAATGCTTGGTATCACTGCAAATGAGGCCCTTTAAAAATCATTTGAAGAGGCCAGGCACAGTGGCTCATGCCTGTAATCCCAGCACTTTGGGAGGCTGAGGTGGGCAGATCACAAGGTCAAGAGATCAAGACCATCCTGGTCAACATGGTGAAACCCTGTATCTACTAAAAATAAAAAAATTAGCTGGGCGTGGTGGTGCACACCTGTAATCCCAGCTACTCAGGAGGCTGAGGCAGGAGAACTGCTTGAACCCAGGAGGCAGAGATTGTGGTGAGCTGAGGTTGCACCATTGCACTCCAGCCTGGGCAACAAGCGAAACTCTGTTTCAAAAAAAAAAAAAAAAAAATCATTTGAAATAATACAATAAATGGTTAAGTTATGGATGGACATCAGATAAATCTAAAAGACAAAATCAACTGTTCTTATAGTATGTAAATAGTATTTGTGGTTTGGGCTAAAGTTTCTTATGCTAGCAAATACAATTCAGAATGTTAACTCTCAACTTAGAATGTGATATCTATGGGAAAACTGATAAAATGATCCATATTCTTCCCCAAACTTTTCTAGTCAGCTTAACCAGAATAGGTCTTGAATCTTCTCATGGGAAAACGAGGTGAGTATTACTTCGTGTTTGTGCTTATTCCATAAATTCCTGTTAGGAAGGTATTTTAATAAATTGTGACAAATAAAATTAAAGTTGATATAAATTATGAAAAACTATGTTGAAATAAAGGAAAATGTTAGCAGAGTTAACAGTAATTACAAATTAGTAAAAGAGGAAGCCATGTGAAACACAGTACCTAAGAACTGATAGAATTATCTCTGCACTATTAAAAAGTAGAGAGAAAACTCTGTAGTTTGTGTTAACAATATAGAATCATCTCAAAGATAAGAACAGTAAAGTAGAAAACCTATACAAAACTGAAAAAGTGTGAACTAGCTATACACAATAACATGGATGAACCTCAACATGCTGACAGGTACTAGAGAGCAGAATAAAATGCCATTTATGCCAACTTTAAAGCAGCCAAAACAAATTTATGGTGTTAGAAATCAGGATGTGGTTTTCTCTAAGGAGGAGGAATGACTGAGGAGAGAGACTTTGCTAGTGTCTTAGCTAGTGCTAGCAGTATCTGATTTCCTTACCCGAGTACTAGCTTTATATATGTGCTCACTTTGTAACTGAGCTGCCCACTTTTAAAATCTGTGCCCTAACATCATAAAAAAAAAAAAAAAAAAAAAGGTAAAAGCAAGGTAGTGAAGAGAGTTTAAATTAGGACACTTTTCGGGAGAAGAGCAGTTAGAACTATTTGTGTTTGTTTTTTAAAGCTTAAGTACTAGGAAAACACCAAGAAACTAGTAACTATGATCAGGGGAGACTTAGATGGCTGGGAGCCAAGAAACGAGGGAGACTACTTTTCATGATTTTAGTCTTTCGTGCTTTTGCTTTTGGACGATTTGTATGTTTTACCTATCAAAATAAAAGTATGCTAAATTAGTAAACTTTTAATCCAATTACCCACAATACAAAAGAGGAACCATACAAATCAGGTGGTGGACATAGTAACAGAGAATAGGGAAGGAATAGAGAAACCACCACCACTGACATTAAAATAAGACTACTAAAGTACCAGATAATCCCCAACTCCATTTATAGCTATCATTTATTAAGGATGCACTATATGACGGGTGTTATACATTACTGTCAATCTCCATAACAATCCTGCAAGAAAGGCACTATTTTCCATTTTAAAGATTTTGCTCAGAGAATGATTTGCCGAAGTCATAGTAAGTGGTGGAGCTTACATTTGAATGCACATTTGTACTCTTTGGTGAGGACACCAGCCAGTTTCATAGTCTAGTCAGTAGATCTTCCCGAGGGAAAAACATGCAAAAGGCAGAAATACAACATTTAGGCTAGGCACGGTGTCTCATGCCTGTTATTGCAGCACTTTGGTAGCCCAAGGCCAGAGGACTGCTTGAGCCCAGGAGTTCGAGACCAGCCTGGGCAGCCTAATGAGGCCTTGTCTCTACAAAAATAAAAATTAATAAAATTTTAAAATAAAAAGATGAGCCAGGCACGGTGGTGTGCGCCTATAGTCCCAGCTACTCAGGAGGTTGAGGTGGGAGGATCACTTGAACTGGGGCGGTCACCGCTCCAGTGAGCCATGATTGTACCACTTGCATTTCAGTCCAGGCGAAAGAGCAAGAGACTCCTCCAAAAAATGAAAAGAAAAATACATTTAACACTTTGTTGTCACTGGTAGAAAAACTGGAACTGCAATGACACAAATTGCAGATATCTAGAAAAAATTTCAGACTTAAAAAAAAAAAGCCACGATAGAACTTAAGTCGTATTTGAGTGATTTGGGGAAGCTAAAGTTTTCCATTTACCTACAAGGAGGCCTTACCTGACAGAACACCACCCAGATAGAATGAGTATCCAATCAAAGAATCAAAATCAGCAAAGTGTGTCACTGGCTTTAAGGGTTCTCTATCCGAACAGTACATTAGCTAAAGCTGCCTCCCACCCCAAACTCTTTTTTTCTAACCACACACAAAAAAAATATTGGCAGTTACCAGAAAAGGTTTAATTATTCTGTGAAAATGGCTTTCACTATGAAATTAACCAATTCCACAGACGACGGCAGGGTCAGAAAAACAGTGCCAGAGTTCCGGAAGCTGTAGAACTCATTTGATACTTTCAATACAACATTAGTTAATCAGAGGCCAAGTGTGGATAACAGGAAACAGGTATCTTAGACTCTACACTCTAACACTACCCTTGGAAAAGCCAACATTGGCATGACTCAGTTTACACTTATGCAAAAATACTAATATCTACCTCATAGTGGTAATAAGAAATATAATTAGGGTCTGAAAGCATTTTTCAGGTCACAAGATTAAAGGCTGTTTCTGAAGATACTACATGCATTTCCTGTAGATATGAGTACATTGCATTCTTAACTATATACTACAGAACGACCTCCCAGTACGTATAACTAATTTTCTTAGACAAGATTTTCTTCAGAAGTACACAGGCAACGACATTTGTAAACAAATCCTTTAGCAAGCAACTAATCAACTCTCGATGGCTCTAGCTTCCACTTCCCAGGCCTGCTGCGATGGTAACCTGGTTCCATCCGGCTTACCAATGCTGACGTTCCCAACTTCCTAGCTGTCAGACCGATAAGGGTCTAGAACTGTTTCCCGTCCCTTTGAAAAGGAGAAAATTGTGGACCCCTGATTGTTTGGGTCGTAGATGAAAAAACAAGCGTAGGGGGAGAAAAAGAGAAAAGCAGATCGAAATACTCGGAAAAGACACGAGGGCAAGGGCTGGGGACACAGAAGCCCACCAGGACCCACAAAGGGTGGTGCCTACAGAAGACACAGGACGCCGGGGCAATAACGTCGATAGCTGGGTAACCCCTGCGACACCCCGACAGTCCTGCTGTCTGGAAGTGCCTTTGTCCCGGCCGGTCCGCCAGTCCCGCCGCTTCTCTCCCATATCCTTAGGCGCTCAGCCCGATGAGGCTGCCCGGAGACCGCCTAAAAGCCCGAGGCACCGCCCCTTAGTTCGCCGGGCTCGGACAAACACACTAACCGGCTGGTAGACGCCATCTTCACTGCCACTGCGGTGCCCGGAACAAGCCAAAACAGAACCACCGAAAACAGGAAGCGAATGTGGCGGAAAGACGCGCAGAGATGAATCTTTATAGACAACCCACGCAGTCGTAACAGGGCGGGGCTACGGGTCGGGAGAAGGGCCAAGAACAGTCAGAGTCCTATACATCACGTGCTTCACGATTTCTTACGTTCTTATTCTGTTTCTGTAGTTTGCTATGTTGCTAAGAGAGTCAAGGTAAGAAAAGTCTCATGGGAACCCTGCAAAGGGGCTACAACAGAGCTACTCTCAATCTGACAGAGTTAAAACCCTGTCAGAAGAAAACCCTGGCTTCATAGTGATGCCAAAGCCTGCATCCCTAAAAGTCTAACCACCCGTTCCTCTCCCACTTTCTCACCGCTACCACCCACCCCGCGTCATGCGCTCCCATTTGAGCCAGTTCTCTCTCTCTCTCTCTCTTTTTTTTTTTTTAGGCGCCGTTTTAGCTGGCTATTGGAGCTCTAGAGCCAGTTCCTACGTGCCCCAAGGGTGATTCTTTCTAAGGAATTTGGAATAAAAAAAGAATTCACTTAGGTCATCCAGAACAGGTGTCTGTTCAGGCTCTGTCATCAGCAAGCATGCTGTCTTCTTAGGCACGTCCTTTACATAGGTTACTTAGGTTTATCTGGGTTATAGTATCTTGCCTTGCATACCCTTTTAGAATTGGGAGATGAAACAAAACTATGTGAGAGCAATGTGTGTACGACAGGCATGAAGCTATGGGCTATTCTGATCATTTTGTTTTTTCATTGCCTTTGCAAATTTTGCTGATAGCTACGTATAGTAAACTTGGCAGAACATCTAGATACTGTAAAATATCCCTAGATTAATTAGCCAAACTAATGTCAAAAAAGTAATAATACTGCTACTAACAACAATAACACGGTTAGTGGTGGAGGGTGTCCAGGTTCTTGGCGTTTATGAACAAAGAACTAGACAAAACGCACAAAGCAGGGAAAGAATGAAGCAATAAAGGCAGAAATTTATTGAAAACGAAAATACACTCCACAGGGTGGGAGCGAACAGAGTATACAGGCTCAAGAGTCCCATTAGAATGTTTCTGGGGTTTAAATACCCTCTAGCGGTTTCCCATTAAGTTACTTGGTATAGTTTAAATGAAGTAGTGGTGCCACAATCAGTCTGATTGGTTGTGGAAAGCAACCAATGAGAGGCTAAAGTGAAATCACAAAGTTACACTCCTATGCAAACTGCTTGAGCCCAGGAGTTGTGGCAGACAGAAAATTGAAAGTATCTCTGGTTGCAGAAGGGAGAAATTGAAACCCTAGAAAACGGAGGCAGCACTACTGGTTAAATTAACTCCTCCTCCACCTGAAGAGTCTCTTTCAATTTTCCGTCTGCCACATAGAAAAAAGTGTGCGTGTGGTGGGGGGAGTTGCAAAGGAAGTAGCCGCTGGTTCTTTCGTTACTCAGGTGTTGAAAGTTAGGGTTTTCCTTTTGATTTAGTTCTAGGAAATCAGTGTGAATCAGCCTTTGTCTCTGCCTCCAGACCTATTCTGCCTCAACACTTTGCTGAAAAGTATTCTTGAAAATACGGGGATTGGTAGAGAGAGAGAGAGTGCTTGGTGGTTTTCATGGGGAAGAGAACTTAGAAGATAGTGACTGCTTCCTTCATCTGGGGATAAGATTTAAATGTCATCGAGCACTCATTGTTTTCTTGAGAAGGAGGAGATACTAGCTTCCTTAGAAAGGAAAAGGGTTGCTAGAGGCAGGATTTTAGGAACTGAAATGTAGGTGGGAACCGGGGAGCATGATTTCTTTTTTCTTTCCCCAACCCAGTCTTCTATTTTGTAATTCTGTAATTTAAAAAACTTGACTATACTCTTGTGGGTTTTTTTTCCTACCTCCATATTTAGGAAAGTTTGAAAAATGCCAACCCCTTTCACCTGTGTCAAGTTGCAACCAGGAAAGGGCTTGGGAGTGCTGCACCTCAATCCAGTATTGGTTTCATGCTAAAGCATCTTAGCCTGGTAGAAGAGGAGGAATAAAACAACTGCGCATCTCTCGATGACCCAAACTATGGAACCTGCACCTAGTGGATGCATGGTGGGTATTCAGTAATGTTTGTTGAAGTGAGAGACTGAAACCCAAGAAAAGGGAGGCAGCGCTACTGGGTAAATTAACTCCTGCCTCACCTGAAGTTCTCTTATCTGTCATAAACTTGTAAGGATTTTTTTTTTGTATTAAAATAGAGTTATGAGACTTGGATTGGCTCTCCTTGCTCCTCAAGCTTGCAAACAGCCTATTGTGGGAACTTCTGTTCGTGTAAGTTAATGATAAACTCACATATATATACACACATATATATGTATATATATATGTGTGTATATATATTTAGTTCTGCTTTTAGTCAACCCTAACTAATACAGATTTTGGTACAGGAGTGGTTCTAGAGGGACAGAATATTTAGGATGGAGTTCTTTTGTTGGTTTGGGGTTTCTGTAGTTGGATATAATTACACCGAAAAAATGCTAAGGACTCTACTTCTAATAGTGTGGAGAACACTGATAGTCCTTGGTGTGAATTGTTTAGATAGTTACAGAAAATAAATTCATTTGACACTCCTGATTCTCTGCTTGTGAGAGGCAAGGAGTTTAGTGACTCTATACATAATACCTTTGGCCATATGTGGAGAACCAAGGAACATTATGAAACTGATTGGTTGTTTCTAAGTTTAGTGGACAACATGAAAGAAAATGATGAACTCAGGAATTCTGTCTCCTGGCTTCAGAAGCAGATACTGAGACTCAAATCTGCTAAGATTGTCCTGAGTGAGAGTCTTTTGTTCCGTAGAGAAAGAGCTGAAATTGTGGAAAAACAGACACAAGCTCTTATCATGTGAGTGGCTGACCTGCAATGAAAGGTGCATGCACAGCCTCTCCAGGTGTCTACTGCTAAAGTGAGAGCATTGATTGGAAAAGAATGGGACCCTGAAAGTTGGAATGGGGACATGTGGGAGGACCCTGATAAAGCTGGGGACGCTGAGTTTGTAAGCGCTAATGAAACTTCTTAGCCAGAGGAAACAGCTTTTCCATCCCCAATAGTGACAACATCCCCTCCCCAAAACACGCTGCCATCAGCCTTTCTACCTTTGTCTGAGGAGATAAACCCTGCACTGCCTGAGGCCACAGTGTTGGCCTCCCCTGAGGAAGTTGCCAGGCAAAGTAATGTTGATTCTCCTCAAGAGCCACCCCAAAACCCCTGTTTGCTTCTAGAACTGTAACTAAAGTCCTGGCAGGCCCCTAGAGGTGAGGTTCAGAGTGTGACCCCCGAGGAGTGTGACTGCTTGAGTTTTCTAATTTATATAAACAGAAATCTGAAGAACAGGCATGGAAATGGACGTTAAGTGTACAAGATAATAGTGGAAGGAACAGAGTTGGATCAGGCTGAATTTATTGATTTGGGCCCACTAAGTAGGGACTCTACATTTAATGTTGCAGCTCAGGGAGTTTAAAAAGGTTCTAATAGTTTATTTGCTTGGTTAGCTGAAATATGAATTAAAAGAGGGCCCACTGTGAGTAAGCTGGGAATGCCTGATCCCCCTTGGTTTAATGCAGAGGAAGGGATCCCAAGGCTTAGGGAGATTAGGATGGTGGAGTGGAATAGTCACTTTAGACCTACTCATCCCTCTGGGAGGGTCCAGAAGATATACCCTTGACCAGTGCTTTGCAAAATAGATTTGTGGGGGCAGCACCTGCATCTTTGAAGAACCCTGTAATTGCTCTTCTCTGTATGTCAGATCTAACGTTGGGAACCACAGTTACACAACTACAAAATTTAAATACAATGGAATAATTGGATCCCACAGTGGCAGGCACCAAGTAGTGGCACTCAACTGTCAAAGGCAAGGTGGGCATAGTTACCATAATGATAGCAGAGGCAAAGCAGCAATCAGAATAGTCTGACTTTTGTAGAGCTCTGGCATTGGCTAATTAATCATGGTATTCTTAGAAGTGAAATTGTTAGGAAGCCTGCTGCATTCCTACTTAATTTATATAAGCAGAAAACTTCCAGGTCGAATGGACTGAAGACTAATTTGAATTGTAAAAACAGAGAATCATAGCCCCTCCATCAATTTACAGACTTGAGGCAGTTTACAGACCCAGAACCCCCTGAATGAAGGGGAGTCCGGGTCCTCTTGAGGAAGGACCTCACTACACTACTGACAATTCATACAGTGAATCTTTTTCTCACCCTTCCCCAAGGAGACCTCCAGCCTTTTACCAGTGTAACTGTGTACTGGGGAAAGGGAAATGATCAGACATTTCAAGGATTACCGGACACTGGCTCTGAGCTGACATTGATTCCAGAGGGCCCAAAATGTCATATGTGGTCCTCTGGTTAAAGTAGGGGCTTATAGAGGTCAGTTAATTAATGGAGTTTTAGCACATGTCCGACTTATAGTGAGTTGCCAGACTCATCCCATGGTCATTTCCCCGGTGCCAGAATGCATAACTGTCATAGTCATACTAAGCAGCTTGCAGAACCTTCGTGTTGGCTCCCTGACTGGTAGGGTGAGGGCTATTATGGTGGGAAAGGTCAAATGGAAGCCATCAGAGCTGCCCCTACCTAGAAAAATAGTAAATCAAAAACAATACTGCATCCCTGGAGGGATTGCGGAGATTAGTGCCACCATCAAGAACTTGAAAGATGCAGGAGTGGTGATTCCCACCACATCCCCATTCACTCTCCCATTTGGCCTGTGCAGAAGACAGATGGATCTTGGAGAATGATAGTGGATTATTTTAAGCTTAACCAAGTGATGACTCCAATTGCAGCTGCTGTACCAGATGTGGTTTCATTGCCTGAGCAAATTAACGTGTCTCCTGGTAGCTGGTATATAGCCATTGACTTGGCAAATGCCTTTTTCTCCATTCCTATCCAGAAGGTTCACCAGAACCAATTTGCCTTCAGCTGGCAAGGTCAGGAATATACCCTTACTGTTC